TTGTGCTGATCACGAAAACCAGATTCTTTCTGCATTTTAGGGTCTTTTAATGGAGTCACGGTAGGTGAAGCGTATGAGGTCAACACTGAATTTGCTTTAAACTTTGCGTAAGGGGGGTCATTTAGCCGACTGAATATGACTATTTGCTGTTTCCTAAAAAAAACACTTTTTTGGGCTACGGTGGATATATGATGAATGGGTTATGAAGTTCCGAATTTGCTCAAAACTAGAAAGGCTGCCTAAAAAAGTTTCTAAGTATGCTAATTACGAATGCCATGCCTGCTCGTTGCAAAAACGCCTCCTTGTTAGAGTTACGGTGATTTTGCAGCTGTGAAAGTAGACATTTTTCTCGTTTTGGGCCGAATTAGATCACAGAAATTTACATAAAAGCTTTAGCTTTAGCTTTTTCAAAATGAGCACGATGCTCGTGATCAACAAGTCGCATAATCCCTCTGCACAAATTTTCAGGCAGCAACTTTGACCCCCTACCATGCACACCTACCGTAACTCCGCGAAAAGGTCCCAAACCGCAAAGAGAGTACGATATTCGTGATCAGCATGCCGAATAACCTCCCTAGGCTAAGTTTCAGCGAAATTCGTGATTTTGACCCGTTACCACATACCCACCGTAACTCCGGAAAATGACGCTACGGTGCAAACACCGTGATAGTCGGTATCATCGGGCCGAAACCCCTGAGGCCAAGTTTCAGCCGCGAAAAGCCAAATTCACGACAAAAAAAAATATTGTGGGCCTTTTACTGATACGCCCTTTTTTCCTACTTTATATGCTGTACAAATGAATAATTAAGTATTTACTTCTTCTCGAACTTTCCAAATTCCGTACACACAGCTGATCAAGTCAAGCATCTCCAATGTAAGTGTAGGCTTCTCTCTTTATTCCCAAGATCCTTTAACGAATCGAAATAAAGGTCTGTGGCCCTCGCTACCTAATACGGATCTGGCGGATAGACAAGAGCAACAAATGAAGAATTCCATGGGATAAAACCTCACTCAACTTGACTTTTTATTTGACTTAGGAACATGATAGGAAACGTCATGCTTATAAAGTGAGAATTCAGCGTTTCATAATCTCACAAGTCTCTTTTCTGGTAAACCAATAACCGTTATCCAAGTCCTGCTTAAAAAAATGCTTTCGAAAAAATGCTTTCTTGCTTTGTTTAGTATCTTATGGTGACAAATACCATATCCATTCATTATGGACTTCTTCCTATCTGCACAACTGCCGTAAATTCAGAAAGCTTTCATAACGCAGAATGCTTACAGAACTTGTAAGCAGCATACAGACATTCTCTCTTTCCAAAATATTTGCTGGTTTTGCATAACCAAATAGTTCAGCGTTATATTTAGAAGCAGTATTGCCCTTGATTGGCCTCCTTCAGTTTCTGGTCTAGAAGATAGGTCTAAGTTGGAAGACACAAGACTCTTTTTCGCTACATAACTGATTGCGAGAATTGTTTTCATAGCTGTTACCGAGGACTGAAGTTAGTTCGTCAATTGCAATCGTCCAGACCTTGAGCAGGGCTGAGCAAGGGCAAGGAACCAAAAGAGTTGCGCGCACGCATGGAAAATATTGAACTTTTTCAATTTTTTTAGAGTTCAAATCTCTTAGTATCTCCCAGTAGAAGATTGCTGTGCTCTATTGGTACTTCAAAATGTTCTAGGGCAACAAAACCGGAAGAACATGGATTTAATGTTTGAGAAGTGCAAAAAATTCAGCGTATCACGTGCGGAGCATCTGACAAAAGGCGCGAGGAGCGAAAACAACTTCTAGGTTTCCCTGGACCCTTTTTGAGAAGTGCTGTCCTATGACTAATGTAGGACCCATACGTCCTTAATAACTAATACCAGTACGGACTGGTCATGTTTTTCTCCTCTCTTTCAGCTTGGAAAAATTTGGCAAACAGGTGCTGGTCCTGCGGCTAAATTTCGGACAAAAAAAACGAATAAAACGATCTCCCTCGCATTGAGGTCTGCTATTATGAGATATCTTATGAATATCAAAACAGAAACAGATCGTCTCCAACTTAGTTTAGACTGCATACAATTAGCGGATTTGATCCTATGAGTATCATGATATTCACCGTACTTAAAGACTAAAGATTTTTTTCTCTAAAATGCCCTTCAAATATTATTTCTTGAGTCGTTTCTGTTCTCCCAGTCCTAAATGTTATTCGTCAATGAGGGGCAGCCTCAGACCAGGGTTTATACATCGTCACACTCACTACTTACAAAAGACATCTCTTATTATATTAGGCACTCAAGCACGCGACCCAATACTAATTGTATTCTTTGGTCTAAATCTCATTATAGGAGTCATCGAATTACCCGAGAAAGTCCATGCACCATAACGGGAGCAGAACAAAAGAAAACTATTAACAATGCATCGTCGAAGACTTCTTCGGCAAATCAAGTACTTGCTGCAAAACTTCCTCTTTACACACTTTGCAGAATGTAAACAAGGGAGACCATTTATGAGGACGAAAATCTCGGGTTCTACTTCTTCCTGCTCCGAAATTTTCTTGAACTTTGCACCTGATTGGGATAAGAATATAGTGTCAACAAGGATTTATACGAAGGTATGGGATTTTATGCGCGGAGTTGTGAAAACAGAAACGCTTGCCTAATTTTTCAAGAAAATTCTCGTTCAATAGATGGGTAGAATTATTCTCGGCCATGATGTCACTATTAGTCGCAAACAGTTTTTGCCATAATTATTCTAGACAACAACTAATGGAACGTGTCATGGCAATCTTGCCTTCTTAATCTTCTTGTTTGCTGAACGCATCATCCTGGCAGTACCTGACGCCTAGTAAAAAATTCTAGACCGAAAATAATTAAGAAGAGTAGGCTAGCGAAAAAAGAACCGAGAAGATCCCAGAAACTACAAGTACTTACATTTAATGCATACTGGAAAAGTTTCATCGTCAAATCACCATCTCTTACGTACCATAGAAAAAAAAGAAAAAAACCGTAGAAAGGGAGAACGGTGTCTGAAGTGAGCAGTCAATGGGATAAGTTTCAGTAAGCTCGCAGCAGGAGCAACAAAAATGTTTCTTGAAATTAGGTTTTTCAGAATTTTACTACGCGATTGGGAGGCCCTACATGACGACACGAAGACTAAAACGATAAAATTCTGAAGTTTGCTCTATCCAGAAGCACTTTGAAGACTCGCAGCATCAGCGAAATTTTTTGCCAACCTCAGACATGGAAGCTTTGCCATTCTTGGATACCCTGTAATAATCTGTTATTTTTTCACGATGTTTTGCAAAATCGGCAATTTTATTACTGAAGTAAATGTAATATGTCTGCGAAAACATGGCAGAGCTGCTTGCTTACAAAACCTCAAGTGGCATCCTAGAAGTTTTAACACGAGGTCTCTTTGACATATAAGAATAGAATTTTTTGAAAATATAGCTTTTTTGGTGTTCATGCAGATTGCCTTCCGAATAATCTCCAACGAAGGATGGGAGGAAGGAGACACAAAAAAGGCAATAATCAAGGAAAAGTAGCGAAGAAGTAAAGTGCTAAATTCAACCAAGAGAGAGGAGGTAGCAGAGGAACAAACTTGTGTGGGCTTGAGTTATTCAGGGCTTGAGCTAAAGACTCAAATTGCATAAAAGGCTCGAGAAAATGCATGAGGGAAGAAGATCATGACTGTTTGAGTCACAGTCACCTAAGGTGGCTCCCACTTGGCTCTGGAGGCCTCCAAATTAAAGGACGCAAATTTCATCTTCTCAAAATTAATTCATAATTTTTTGTACTTTACTTTGAACACCAAACTTGAACACCAAAAGAATATTGAGCAACTATGTGCTGTATGCATGTAAGTTGTTCTTACAATTAGTGCAAACGAAATTGTGAGATTGTGTTCTACTATGTTCCCTTGCCATTATACAAAATTCGAACAGCTGAAACTCGACGGAAATCCGCAAACCTCTTAATGGTCGACAACCGTTCTGCAAGCAAGTAAAACGACATTTGCTTTAGATTATCCGAGCTGCACAATTTGAAATTGCACCTGCAGATGCACTGGTTAGCGCAAGATTTCGTTCTCACCAGCTTCAAAAATTCATAACTTCTTTTTTTCTTGACGTTTCGCATTATTTTCTTTCTAATTGTACCTAGAGCGATCTTTAGATGAAAGCGATCTCTGGAAATCGAAGCCGAGGAAAAGAACTCTAATCTTGATTTCCTCTGTTCAAATTACTCAAATTTTGATCCTCCTGCTGGTTCATAAAAATTTGTGGCTTGCAATAAAAACCGAAACAGTCAGTATAGTACGTTTCTTACCCTGATGCCTCCGCAAAAATTAATGATTTTTGAGCAAACATTACAAGAATGCAGATTTAATATTTTCGCCATTTTTCTCGAAAATCATAACTTTTTGAAAAGATTTCTAATAAGCAATTTTCTCATTCAGAAGAAACAGTGCCGGAAACCCATGATATTGACTGCTACGATTTTATTGCATCACACTCCTTGTAATCAAGCGGATCAAAATTCAAGTGATTTTTTTCTACCGCTCCTATCGCGGTGTACGCATATATGCGGAACGATTCTTGTGCTAGCCTAATATTTGTCATATATTTTTTCTGGGAATCTGCACTAGACGTGTCTCCTTTTACTTTTCCCCTATTAAGACGTTATCCAACCTATCTTCGCCCTGGTCGTGGCTCATGTTTTCAAAAAACTCAACAATGCCCAGAGTTTGAAGTCTTATTGTCTTGGACAATTTACTATTAAGATCTATTGGATTTCCGCATACGACTTCTCTCTAAGAACAAACCTTATCTTGCTCTTTAGCTCAGGGTTCTTATGGAATGAATAACCGTCAACGAACGGAGGACTTCTTTAATCCTTTACCACTCTAGAGTTCACACTGCACCCAACCTAACCCAACCTGAAGTGACGTGGGAAACTTACAAAGGTTATGTCTTACCTGGGGTGCGAACGATTCGGGGAGGCGGAGAGGACGAGCGGACGCATCGGTCGGGGTGACTGGCGACACACCCACGGCACCGCACATGCACTACAACACCACACAAAACATGTTGGTGACGATTCTTCTGCTCATCGGCTTCACAGCCGTACACACCGCCGATCCCGTCGATCAGGTAACTCATAGGCATTCTTTGTAGGACCTCCTAGCACTCTTCTGCGTTGAATCTGTCTTTGAAAGCGAAAAGAAAACGGTCGTTAGTGAGTTCAAATGAAGGGCTTATACAGTAATTCTGGCTCGATGTTCATGTTCCTATTCCAATACGCAACTTATGATTTCCAGTGAATTTTATTAATCCCTTCGTTACAAATGAAACACACAAGGGATTATCAATAGAATTTTTTTTTCGAATTTTACTTCATAGTGAAACACCGTACAGCTCCAAACCCTATCTCTCCTAAGTTTGATCTACCAAACAGATGTTCTCAGAGGCATTGATGATTTTCATATAGACCCCCCCCCGCTCTCTATCCCAACCTAGTATTTTTACATTGCAGTTTATTCCTAGCATTTTCAATATCCATTTACATGGATTACATGGATTCTACGTTCCGTCACTTTGTAAGACGAAGTCGTATACAGTCCATTTATTGATTATATAATTTGTGCGATTGCACACACTGCACAAATTCTGCATTTTTTCCTGAAACGTTGATCGTTTTGTCCAGTGTTCTTGATTTGAAGGTCGTTCGTCTACCTATACCCGAAAGAAATAACATTGAGGAAAAATGCTTGATAAGCATTTCGCTCAAAAAGCTTGGATAATATGCCCGATCCATGAAATTCGTTAAGAGACGCACAATATGTGCAGTGTGTGCAGTGGCACATTTTAGGCCTAAATAAGTTATATGCGCTATTTGTACACTAGATCGTGCGAGGACAGCAAGTGGAAGTTGTGAAAATTGATTTCTTTCGAAAAAATGCATTTTTTCTTGCAAAAGACAAGTACTATAGCTTACATCTCTTTTCACATTTCTGAGCAACTCATTGGAGCCCGTCGAGTGTCGATTGTCCTTGCTGAAGACTTCGCGTTCCACTTACAGCCCCACCTGTTCGTAGCGGTAGGAATGAGGAACTATTCCTCTTGTCCACTCAACCGTTGAGTGTCTTTTTTTAGCAAAACTGTCACTGCAATCTGCACATTTTATTCTTCTCCTAATTTACTTTCACTTGGACACACTTTTTAGAAAAAAATCTAAGATTTATGAATCATCTCTTGGTCGAATCTAGCCAAAGAAGCGCAAATCGGTGGAATGGACAATAGAGTGATGGATCGAGTTTTATTCATTCATTAGCAGAACGCAAATAATGTTCAGTTTTTTTTTTGCAATAGGTGTTTGTTCTGAAATTCCCCACAAAAAAATATGGAAGTGGTTCTCGTTGACGCTACTCGTACTGCAATTCGCTGCATTACTTTCTCCCTTTCTATCGTTTTTGCAAAAATGTATATTTCACTGCAATTGCGATAAAGGCTGGAAAACTTGTTCTCTTATTCAGCGGACATTTTTCTGCATTTCAGACCATATGACGTTCGCTGTACTTTTTAGTTACTTGCCCTTCTTGAATCGAATCTCACGACACAAAACATAATTCGTAAAACTCCCTGCTCGTCTTATTTGGTGAATTACGCTCAAAAGGACATGGACCCATTTTATTGTCTTTTAGGAGTTGAAGGCGATGACAAAGATCGACCACTACAAACTACAAGGAAGCGATTCATATCGCTATGTTGTTTATCCAATACAGTTTTTCGCGTGCGTAGGATGATTTTTGATGATCAGGATTGAGAAACGATCTTGGCTGATCCCTTTGATTTTCCATGAGATGGGTAGCGATTGCTACAACAAATTTTCCAGGTATCTGGAAAGTTGGTAACCTCAAAAGCTCCGAATCAAATTCTGAAGTGCTTCTTGCTTGCTTTGGTACACACTCGCTTTTTTTTTCAACTTCTGCCACTTCGAACATATTTTGGAATTAGTATGATTATTGTTAACGAGCTGGCAAACCCGGCTCCACTCGGTCCTGTCAATAATGATTCGAATCAGCATGTTTACTTATCCCCCTCCCCACCCTGCACACCCTGCACACCCTGCACACGCTGCATACCCTGCATCCGAATGTGCACAAACAAACTCACAGATTTTCTGCTTTATATATATAGAGATGGAGGGACTATAAAATGCATTCGGAAGCTAGTTTTAGGGGTATCGAAGGCTGATTACGAAAAAAACTATTCCTTTTGATCTCCGACTTTATACGGCAAGATTACGGTAAACGTGCAGTATCTTGCAGCTAGACAAAATTACTTCCTAAATAGTTTGTCAAGCCCATTTTATGAGTAAGTAAATATATCAGGGTTGAGTTACTTATTTCCATTCGTTGGTTTGAACTCTAACAACCAATGGGGGCGCATTCAAAAACCATCCGAAGTGTATCTCCCTTTATAGGGTTTTATGTCACCCTGCCTTCTCTCCACTGAAGTTTTTTCTTCATTTTCCCAACTGCAAGGTCTATTGTATTTATTAGGACTTCTACTTGCTCATCAGAGTAAACTCAATCCAAGACTGAAAAATTGTATGCATAGAAAGCCTAGAAATTTGCCATAAATGTGCTGAGGCATATTGGTGACTAACTAATATCCACCCTCACCCTAGACTGCCCTCAAAAAGTACGGGTGTATGTCAAGAGGCGCGATTTTTATTGCCAGCTGGACATCAAATTGCACATTTCAAATGTTTAATAATGTTCTAGGGGCCTTTCAAATTTCTGAGAAGTTATAGAAATCGTTGCATGAGCTGTCTGATCTTATCATCTTGAAAAAGATCCAGAACAGAAACATCGGAGATCAAAAACCTATGAAAATCCAAATAATGGCAATTTCGTGAGTATTTCGCTCATTTTTGCAGCAAGCTGTGAAACTCAGCACTTGGTAACTTCGAACAGCTACTAAGCTAAGCGACTTTCTCTGGAATTTTTTGAAACTTTATGTAGTGTAGAAATTGGTCTTTTAAGTTGGTGACAGCCACAGAAATTGCGCCTCTTGACCGTCTCTCAAAAAGTACCCACGACTCACGTAGACCCATGTAACTTCATATCTAGCATAAACACTCAAGCAAGAAGCAAGTTCTACAGTGTAATGTAATGTTGTTTATAGCTTTTGTCTTGACCCGAAAGCGTGCGCAAGCGTTTTTTTGCTTCTTAAATACTTCAGGTATTTTTATGGTTTTTTTAGTGGACGAATGAAAGAACTAATACAAAAAAACGATGGCTACTTTGGATCTACAAAAGCCGGCGTTAAGTATATAGTTTTGTTCGATAACTCTCACAAGCAACCCATCTTTCCGAGCAGAAAACATAATTTATGTGCAGAGCAGGAAATGCACATCATCGTTTTTTCTCATCTTCAGAAAACCACATAGAAGAGCCGATCGCTAGACGTACACAAAGTTTCAAATCTAAATCAAACATATTTTCAACAACGAAAATTCGGGAACAGTTTTACAAAAAACCCCCCATGAGACCCTTCCGAGACACCACTCTCTCAAATACAATTTTTTTTCTGTAGATCTAACAAAATCATTTGCAATTCAACTTTGTGGCAATTTCTGTTTTCATAGCTATTGTTGATCAAAAGTGCTACATCTGCTGTTGCTCTTTGATTTTCCATTCTTCGACTTTGTTCTTCTCAAAATTTCACGATATGGTTCTGCACAAAAATTCTTACACCAATACTCTTCCATAAAAAGCCAAGGGATGCAAAGTAGCAATTTGCAAAATCTCTAAAAATTGCAAATGGTCACACTTCTTAATTTTTCAGACTGTAGGGACGGCGTTGTTTTAGTTTGCACTTACTTCGAATGTGATAAAGGACATCGATAAATCAGAAGAGTCGTTTTCACTTTTATAACTACTACTACTTCTTTTGTAAGAAAGTGCTCTTATAAAGGGAGTAATAGTAGACTTGATGTATATTTTGCATTGATCAGTCATTAAAACCCCGGGACTATGATTTGCCATATCTTTTTCTTACTGTATCCGTGTGAACGTCGACATTCTTCAAATAACTTCGCATAAGCCTATAATCCGCCGTAGCGATTCTATGCATTGGCGAAACCGAAAGAGAACCAGTCGAAGTTGGAGGAGGTTAGCCGTATGCTAATCTTAGAAAGAAAAAAGGGAACGTTCTACGATGGTTACAATACCACTTTTCGCGCAAATAGCAAAATTACAGGTGTGCATGGAATTCTGTAATTGTTAGAAATTGCAGAAGAGCCAGTTTCGGCATTTCTGGCCTGGCGTAGAGAGCAGTTGTCCAAATTATAAGGTATAACAATGGCAGATTTAGGTAGCCAGCCAAGGAGCCGAAATACTTTCGAAATCTCGCACCGGAGATACTGTTCGACAATGTTCATGTTCTGAGCAGCAAGAATGCACAAAGGAGATGAAAACTCAGGTCAAGGAATGTGCAGTGCCTTGCTTCAACGAATTCAGCTCGGTAAGCACTAGAAATATATTTTTTTGAAGGCGCCGTGAGACGCGAAATGGAACGTGATGATTCAATATCAAGCTCGCAGAAATCATCCATTTACTACAAAAGGTGTTCTTGATCTCGTATTTAACGATACTGTCCATGCTTTTTTTCTGACTCCGTACCGTAATAGTCGTTAGATCTCGGATTCAAAAAATTCGGTAGAGGAGAAAGAAGCGGATGGAGATGCTGCTTCAATTTTCCTTCTTTCAGGATTTGAGGTTGATGCACAATTCTTGCACCACAAATAATTTGAAATTTGCAAATGCTTAAGCAAACTAAACAATTTGCGCAGTATGCTGCTTGTCATGAATAACGAACAAGTAATTCACTGTAGATATTAGAAAAATGTGATACAATTATGTAAAGTCGACTTCCAAAAAAACAAAATCCATTAATACTCGTAGAAACATATGTTATCAATTTCTTAGTCAAAAGGAGTAGTTCGTAAAGCCAAGATCAAAATAAATTTAAATTTCAGTAGCCCTTCAGCATTAGCATCCAGAATTCGAAAAATCACTTTCTGCCATTTGCCATCAAGAGATTTTGATTTAAGAACAAGCGCAAGCAAGATTTCTTCTCTCTACTATGTATCAAATTGGAAGATTCCATCTTAGTTGGAGAAAGTGTGGGAAATTCAAAAGTCTTGGTACAAGACTTATGCATCAACCTTATATCTAACTCTAAAATTTTGTTGCAAAAAAAGTTGCTAACTTTCATGTAAGAAATTGTGTGTTTGAGAAATTTTACAATACCATTTACAAGCAAGCGCAAGTCTCACACAATTTCAAACACAAGTGCAGCAATTTGAAAAACAAATTGAGACTATTTGTGAATGCTTTATCGTGAGACATATCTTCGTGCAGCAGTAAAAATAGTCAAAATGTAAGTTTCGCAGAAATCAATCAAAAGGAACTCTGTAAATGGTTCTGGCTTTCAATCTTCAGAATTTCGCCACAGGTTCGCATCGTATAAATCATTAGTATTCAACATGATTTCAAACAAATTTATGGAACATGTTTGGTTTGCCTACATCTATCTTCCATATGTACTGAAATAAACACTTTTGTGGTTATGATTGACTGCTGTAAAAGGTTACTTCTCATATAGATGTTGATATACTGTTGATTTTTTTACCTGCCAGAAAGAATTGTAATTCACATAACAATCATTTTTAGATCACACCTCGGCCAAATGATCTGAAGCGATGTTTCGATGACAGAGATGACTTAGTACAAGGATTTCTTACATGCTTCGAGCAGAAAATTGAAGGGTGAGAGGGATCAGCCTGAGATTATCCTTAAACTTGCAACGAAGCTCACAATTAGGTGCGTTCCGGATCTCAATGGGCCACAAATTCCAAAAATCTCCATACCCACTTTGTTCACCGTTGGCGAGCACCATATTGTAAACCAGTCAGCAGCAATACAGGCGAGTTTCTTTTTATGTTAATTTTACACTCATCGAAAGGTATGTCCTTCAAGACTTAATAACGCTCTGAAGAAACGAGACATTGCAAGAAAAATCATAGGAGGCCTCTTATTGGGGAAATTTATTTTGGTTAGAAACGGAGACGAATGTCGAATTTTTCGTCGCCGGTGTTCTAGTCCATGAATATACATAATCAGTCAAAAATTGAAGTAATTGAATCAAAAGCTGTAAAATCACACTTTTTAGTCAATCATCGCACCAATCAAGCACATTGTGGATGCTGCAGGTGAATTTGCCAAGTGCGTTAAAGATTGCTTCCTTGCAAGAAACGCTAATGGATTTTGTTTCGACAGAAAAAAGTAAGTTTTCGCAAAAATAGAGAATTTTTCTGCTAGGACTTGAAATAATTAAATTTGTTTGGCCGGGTATCTCTCAAAGGTCAAGTTAAAGGGTTCCTTAAAAAATTTGAAGAGCTAGCGCAAGCAAAAAAATTGAATTGTATACTATGAAGCTTACATACATAATCTTGATATTAACCTCTGCCAACATGCCATAACTAAATATTTTCGAACCATCTTAGGCCACTTCCAAATTTGGTATCCACTTAGCTTCTCTACACTTTCCCCTAGTCCAACTAATACATAAATGCCCAAATGTTGCGTAGCAAAACTTTGGGGTCAATCAATATTCAAGCAATTTTTCTAAAATTTGCTTGTGTTTAAATATTCCAAATCTTATAAATAGATTCCTTTTCGCTTTCTGGATATAAATAGAAAGTTCATAAATTGGCAAACTTTGATTTATGAGCTCTGCTGATGCAATCGTTCTGTAGTTACCTTTTTGAGGTTGTCAGTAAATTCGTTCCGATTTCCGAAAGTGTGGACACTGCAAAACATGTCCATTTCTATTTTTCTTTCCATAAACCGGTTCCCCTTTGCCACTTTTACTTGCACCACTATACCGCTTTTGCAAATGACAATTTAGCCTCGAATTACACAACCGATTGTCCTTTCCGATATGATGAACGGTGACAAACGAATAGGTACTTTACGACTCGAACCCGTTTAACGTTTGGTCGTTGTTTCGGGGCAGTCGAGGCTCTCGTCACTAACACACAAAAATGTCCTTGACGCTTTAATCTTTGAATGTTTCGAGTAAATAACAACATCACCATCTATGGTATACCGCAGTCCGACTAGGTTCTACGCGAAAACGCTCAGTTCTTTGTGTTTTTTTCGCCCTTCTATCGACAAGGGCGATTGTAACACCGAGGTACAAAGCAAGACCGTGTTACACACTCTCTCAAAGCGGGAGAAATGGTCAGAAAGGGGTCGAAAGATAAATTCAATGAAAGTTTGTGATAATAATAGCATAAAATTTATGTGTTCATAGCTTTTCACTTCTGCATATGGCATATTCTTTTCATTTCGTTTAGTACTATGTTGTGGGCTAGAATACTGTATTGTTTTCTTCTAGAAACCACGCAGAAAAAATTTACATATTTCAAATTCAAACATATAGGACCGGAACGTCGTAAAGTGTTTTTGAAGAATTGCAAATTTGAAAGAGGAAGTTGGAGATAATTACACTCTGAAACCCCTGAGTCCAATCGGAATGTTCTTGCAAAACTTTTCATGTGGAGCTAATGCGACTATCACATCATTCTTGAGTAAAGGCTCTTTACGAAGTCAAGGTGAGGAACTGAGCTATAAATATACCGTAGCACCACAAATAGTTATATCATGCGAATATGCAAATTTTTTGTAATTAGAATAGACCAAGTTTCGATAGCATAATCAATTTTGTTCATTATTACGGTAACTATCCGTTATACACCTACCGTAACCTAACCTACGATATCGAACAGGGCCCAATGTGGCAGAGTGTTGACCATTAGTTACTAACCCAGATAAAATGAGCTATGTGCAAAAACTAATAAAGAAAAGTCATGGTCGCATTTAGTTGGCCCCTAAGCTTACTAGGAAAGTACAGGGTGTCCCAAAAGTCTTGTATCCTAATTTTGCACAGCTTTAACTCAATAATCACTGGCGATTTTGATCTCAAATTTATACCACAGAATCCTCCAATCATTCCTCGTAAACTACATCCTTGGGGATAAAAAATGACCTTCATGTTTGACTGAAAAAAATAAAATTATCAAACCATTTTTACCTCAAAACGCAAAAAGCAATTTCCTAAAAGTTTGAAATTTATTCCGCTACTGCAAAAATTTGGCACACGGCGGTGCAAATTTATATCCACAATATAGAGGAGGCTTTGCACAACTATCACTATAATGGCTGCATTTAAAAATCTATTTCGTCAAGAGATTCGAGAAAAAACCTGGAAATTATGCGTGCCACTGCAACTATGTCTTTGGAATTACTTTCGAATCTGTAGAATTGCAGCAGTCACTGAATTTGGAGTAATATTCTCTTCGCATGTTTTCTAGATGGGAATCTAATGAAACACGAATGACGAATTGGTTTTAAGACACATTGTAGCCGATTTTCTCATTTCATTTTTCGCAGATGTGTCCAAAATTCCACCATGAGATCTACACGTGCCTGCTTTCAAATTTCCATAATTTCAACCATAAAACTCACAAATTTTTCTAAACATGGTTTGATGTAGCTGAAAGCTTGCTCTATCATACAGCACATTTTCTAAGCGATAGGATTTATTTTCATGAAAAATTGTGACAAAATTGATGATGACTGCCTGCGCTCGGCAGTGGTAATCGCCAACAGTTTGAAGGCTTCCCTTATCAAGGAAAGACGCTTTTACGAAATTCGAATGTTGTGATGTATTTGCTACTTTTTGAATAATGTGTACACCAAATTTTATATCCCTATGTTGTTCCGTTCTGTTTTTATCAGAAAAAATACTAGACTACAAGACTTTCGGGACACCCTGTACTTTTTTCCGCACTTTTAACTTTGCCATCGTTAGTGCTAGTACATACTGCTGCCACTTCTATATTCGGGTACAATGAATTCGTTATCTTCGTAGCATCGCAAGAGAATCAACCTTTTTACTTTCATTCCAAATGACATCTTCGTAAAATATAATGTAGGATGTATAGCATGTATGCGACAAAAGTCACGCAAAAGTCTTCCCATTATCGAAAGAACCATTTTCAAACATTATCTAGTTCGAACCATTCATTAGGGTCTTCACAAAACCGCTGTATTTTTGATTGATTATTACTGTTTCAGCTGCCAGCCCCTGGTCCAAGTAGATAAAGCGAAGAACTCTTTCCGTCAATGCACTCGAAAAATGAACTGGAAGCGTGAAATTGGCGAATTCTGCGAGTGTTCGGTCAGCGCTGGAGTTAGGTAAGTTATTTTCTTGATTCAGCTAAAATTATTATTTCTACCAAACATTCTTATTACAGCGATCTCAAACAATATTGTGCAATGTTTCGTTTGATGGGCAGAAGAGCCGGAAAACGACGTTCATGAGCTCTTCCAAAAAATCTACGAAAGTGCACAGAATCGCTGCGTGATCGTCTGCCCTTATGAAGCATATCAGATCGGGATCATCGTAAATTGCGTGTAGTTTTTTCTTAGCCTGATCATCGGGTTTACGCTTCACTAGTTTTTGTCTTCATTCCTGATTGTCGTGATATTGTAGTTGTTTGCTCCACTGTTAGTCAAACATCTCGGTCCTGTATAGATTACTACTTAGTTTCTATTTAGCGGCACATTGCCCAAAGAATCTCTTGTTTTCAAAATGTATATACTTTTACTTCTCACTTTGAAAACAATGATTTATCGATAGTTACCGTATCAAGATTGATTGCATCACAATGTGATTAAAGAATAGGGACAAGGTAAGAAAGACAGTGCCTATGATATTGTTATGGATTGTGCAGTGTCAAGAGGGGATACAGTTTAGCCCCTAATAAGTCGATGCTTATTGTGTGTTTGCAGTGGCGACAACAGTTGCGCTTGAATCAATGTCTAAGGGCTATTTTGAAACGTTGTGCTCTATGGCCATCTACACGAGCATTCTGTCGACATACAGCCATAGCAATTTGTTACTGTATATGTTGTCGGCACCGTAGGAGACTATACGAAGCTCTACCATCTCTAAGCATGCACCCGTCTCCTGTCACTGCAAGATGCAGAGCTAAGCTTCAGTAAACTGCAACAATTGGTGAAATGGACAGGTTAGAAGTATATTTGTTACTTCAAAAACTTCGTGACTTGACCGGAGAAAAACGCAAACTTTTTTTTATTTAGGCAGAGTTCCCGCAAATAACGTGTGCCAAAAGTCAGAGGAAGACCCGAACTGTTACTAATCGAACAAAGTCTATATATACTTCTTCTTACAGTTTTTGAACTGAGTTTTGTAAACACAGCTTTTGAGATGTGAGAAGCTGTCGGCGATGGCGAGGCTCAAAGACCTCCTTCCAAATACACAGCTTTGAATTGTATAAGACAGTGGTCAACTCCTTTAAGTGATACGGTATACAGCTTGACATGTGCACTGCCGGGTAGCGATGAAACCATAGGGTCCCTTGGGTTCGAAAGGAGTAATAGGAGACTGAAATTTTGTGTATTTATGCGCAAAAATATTGACTTTGCCCTTACTCATACATTATGCTTGTAAGCTCAATAATCACGCCCAAGATAGAGATATTTACAAGATATTAGGTCGGTCCGAAAGTTTTTTCCGTTATTTTTTACCTGTCATAAAATAAAAACGCACGCAAATGCTCTAAACACTATGAGTCGCAGATTTCTTCCTCTTTCCACCAGTCATGTTTTGGGATCATTTGCTTTGGTGGTTTCTGAAGTAATTGGCGAAATTCAAACCCATGGTTTCTACTGCCCAACTTTGGCAATTTTTCAAAATCTTCATTTTGAACTTGAAAAAGCTTCGATAGCAGCTAGATAGCGTAAACAAAATGCAATGCAGTGAGATTTTTGGCATCTATAGCTGGCTTTCCCAAAGCTTTCAGAATTATGTCTCTGATGTTACTAAATCCCACTTTTGGATAAAAAATAGGACATCAAACAGAGCACAACTATGGTGTCATTCGATGTTTTCTCCCCTTTCTAATAGGCCTTTTTTCTTCACAATTCATGATATTTGGCGAAAAAATCATCATAATTCCTGGTTTTGAACCCGCCTCATGCTTTACCCGTAAAATAAGAAATTTGATATTTCGAAGCGGCAAACACTCTGATGCTAAGTTAAGTTCGTGTATTATCATAATCGATCTTTGCAAGTTTCGAATTCTGGGTATTTGTTACCGTTGGGAGCTTTCGTGTATTTTGCGACTTCGCGGAAATGAAAACTTTCGGAAAAGTTATCCTAGAAAATGCTAGGAAGCTAATGAGAGAAGCGAGAAAATTGCATTGCATTGCACTCTCCCTAAGCTATCTAGCTGCTATCAAAGCCTTTCCAAAAGTACAAAATGAAAGTTCTGAAAAATTGCCTAATCTGGGCATGCTAAACCATGGGCTTAAAATTCCCAATTGTCTCAAAAACCACCAAAGCAAATAATCCCAAAACATGACTGGTGGAAAGAGGAGGAGAAACTGCGTGTGATAGTGCTTAGAGCATTTGCCTGCCTTTATTTCACGTCTTTTTATGACAGGTTAAAAAAACGGAAAAAGCTTTCGGACCGAGCGACTATCTACTAATCATCGATACAGTTGAAAAGCTGGGTTCCGAATTGCAGGCAGTTTAAGTTTTTCCATGAAGTATTGCTTACAATTTTGAGCACTGGAAGACCGTTGTACAGCAGTGAACGCAGGCCGTGCGACATCTGGTTGAAGTAACCATAGCAACATGCAAACGCTATAATCGCTCTTCTACAAACAGCACCAGCGATATCTGACATATTTCTTATGATTTAAACATGTGTTGTGGCTCTTAAATCCATTGAAAATTTCTACAAAACTGCGCAAAAAAATTTTTGCTGATTTTTTCATGTTTTTGTCGCGAAGTTATGCAGAAGATGGTTTTATGTTACTTCAAAATAATTGATTTGCGGTGTAGGAAGTACTTTTATTTAACAAAGTTGTTATCAACATGTGCAGTAATAGATAGCTATTTACTGTATTTATGTATTCTAAATATTTATATACAGTTTTGTTCATTAGAAAAATATGTTTAATGATCATATCCGAACTTCCGCGATAAAATATTTAGAAGATGGCCGAAGAACCTGAAGAAGAGGAAAATGTTACTGGACAAGACGGCTTCGAACTTGCCAGTGTATTCAGTTTTTCTTTGAATCAGCGCATTATTCCGTACTGCGCGACATCTGCTAGGATTGAGTCTGATAGTAAAGAAACTCTGGTTGCTGTCAGTGCTTCTAACAAAGTTATTCTAAGAAGTAAGATTAATTTTACTCATTCCGAGCTTAGGAGTTTAAAAATGTTTTCTTTTTGCCAGATAACGAGAGCACTCTGCACATTCCGGACAAGATAAAATGCATCACTACTGCTCCTTTCGGTACTGGTTACGATTATATCGTAGTTGGTACAGAAAGTCAAGTGCTAGTCTATGATTTCTGCAAAAATTCCACCATTTTCCGTCGAGATGTTCCTGATGGAGTGCATTGTTTTACCGTGAGTTTTTTCCTACTAGTTCGATGTTATTGTTGCCACAAAAAAAAGTTGAAGGTCGGCAAACTGGGCGAATTAGACCGCATGATTCTATGTGGTGGAAATTGTGCGATTTGGGGATTCGACGAGACTGGCCGAGACATTTACTGGACTGTTACAGGTATGTAAGGGGTTTTGGAGAAGGGAGGGGGGAGGAGCAAAGAGAGCATTTTGTAATTCGAGTATTTTTTACAACTCAAATACGCAGTACTCACTGCATTTCCTCTTTTTTGTAACTTGTTTTCCAGCAAATTTAAAAAGCTACTGGAACTCCCATAATTCTATGGATCTGTCAGGAACCGGTCCTTTTATGCGCGTATATACAACACATATATTTTGTCCATATATTGCAATATGGCAATGTGGACGCCAAGGCTGAATGACGTGCACTTTGCAGTGTGAACAGACTGTGTGACATTTGTAAGAAAAGACAAACACAGGAGAAAAATAGGTCCAAAGCCGTAAACTTAGGAACCTGCCAAAACACTTCGGTCATGAGTTCTTAATGCATAGTTTGATCAAAAAAATGATTGAGATCAAAAATCTTTAGGATGTGCAGAGTAGGTGACTAGGTATAAGCCAAAGAAAATAAAATTGCTGTGCAATCTAGATATGATGAGAAGATGTTTTGGCGCAGTCATGTTAGAAAAAACCTTTAAGGAAAAATTCCCAACTATTAGAATTCTAATGGCATCACTTCAGCAATTTCTCAAAGCTCTAAGTCTTAGATTAAGCTGTACAGAGGCATGCAGAGGCATTACCATGTAAGTTGTTTTGAATGAGAAAATGTAAATATTTTGCTAATCCCCATTCTTCTTCCTTTTGGGGACTCAAAAATCCACATTAATCCAAACTTAGGAAGCATCATAATAAATTTGCAGGGGATTCGGTAACAACGATGTGCCTTTGCGACTTCGATGGTGACGGTGAAATGGAGGTAGATAACCGTTTAAGAAAGAAAATTATCCTCATATTTGCTAATTTCAGCTGATCATTGGGTCACCGGACAGTGAACTGCGCATTTTCAAAAATGATCTGATGAGGGCTGAACTCTTAGAAACGGATGCTGTCATAGTTCTCCAGGGTTTCGACAAGTGCAGATATTCTAGAACATTCAATAGTTGAGAAAAAAGTAGGGTAATTTAGAAATCGCTTTGGATATGCACTGGCCAATGGAACTGTTGGGATGTACCAAAAGGATCAAAGACTTTGGCGTATCAAATCGAAAAGCGTTATCACTGCCATTCTACCATATCCCAATGAGGACACAGTCACATGCGTCTGGAATTCAGGGAAGGTACACATTAGCACTTCTTTGAAAACGAGGTTGGAAAACCTTTGTCCAGTTCTAGATCGATGTTCGTTCCATAAGCGAAAATGGTGAGGTTGTTTGCCGAAACTCTTCTCTCACTGGACAAACCGTAATCGCTGGTTTTACATCGAAGATGAACGACGAGAAAGAAGGAGAATTTACCGTAGTTACGTCCGACGGAAAAGGTGGGTGATGTCAGATGCTGATCTCCACATTCTTTCAGCATGATTTATTTATATATTTGAGTGTACGGTTTCAACAATTCTAAAGCAAAGGAGATGGTGGATAAGACGCAAGAGACTTTGCATTTATTTGGTCAGAAGAAGCACAATTTATTGGTGACTATTACTGTTCTTTCATAGAAAAAGGCTGTCAGTCCCGAACAAATCATGCGTACTTTCAAAAAAGGACCCTCTAACACTACTATAAATCCAAATTTTCTTTATTGTTTAAAGAAAGGCCGCTAAAGTTCTCCTTCTCCGATGTGTTCAAGTATCATTTACAGATTGAGCTTAGTAATTTCGAGCAAGAAGAACAACTAAGTGAAGCTGATAAAGAAAAAGATTTCCGCATCCCGATTGGAACCACCGTGGAGTGCAAACTTTTTGGTAGGTTGGTTGAATTTTCGTTTTCTCTAAAGAATTCTCTTCCAGTGTCGAAGAGCGATCGAACCCTCTACCTTGTTCTGGAGGCCTCACACTCGGTATGTATACGTGGAGTCATAGCATTCGCCGAGGGACTGTTCGAGGGTGAATCGTACATCTGGTCAGTCTTCCCTTTGAAAAAAAAAATAGTAACAATGCTACCGAACTCTCGATAATCCACTGAAACTGTGTCCTTAGTTTGAAATCAAGAGCAAATGTTCATCCAGGATTCCAAAGTTGATCGAAGGGGCTGGCGATCGAGTTCAAATTCCCATTGTCACAGAAAAGGATATGGCCAACGAGATTCATATACGCACCTTTCTTGGGCCGCAGGAATCGTAAGTGATTTCTCTGTGATAAAGTAATCCATCACATCCAGAATGGAAGCAGAGGGTTTTACATCATCGGAGACATTGCAGAGATTGCGCCTTTTGACGCGACGCGGTTTGCATTTAATTGAAGGGAGAACATAGAAGAGGATAAGTGGCAGCAGTAGTTGCTCCACTGTACGGTCTAGTCCCACTCGAAAGCGGATGGTTTGACTCGAGAAAGCTAGTCTGCGCTCATACCCCATGTCCACCGCGCCGCACTCGCACGCGTTCCGCTTATTTAGACGCCACCCTTCGTCTGGGTCAGACTATAACTGCAGTTTCTAACATCGACTTTTACCAATCGTAAAATTGATGTTCTGTGGCCGTATTCATCAACGAACCCCGAGGGTTAGTTTAACCCTGGAAAGCGTTTAACCCGTATTCATGAAACACAGGGTAGGCTTAACCCTGAGGGTTAAATCTAACCTTGAGGGATAATTTTACCCCGAAAGCGACTAACCCGTATTCATCAACGAACCGTGAGGGTTAAACTAACCCTGGAGGGTTAAACTTACGTGATTCATCAGGGTTAATTTAACCCTAGCTCAGAGCAAGGTTAACTCTACCCTAACACTTCATACAAACATTTACTCGCATCTAATAGTTTATGGAAAACGATCAACGAGTATTGTAGTATTTAGTATCGGTCGTTGTTATAGTATTTAGTTTCGACTTCGTTTTATGTTCATATTCGAAGCGCATGAAACATTGACTTCGCGAGAAAAAGAATTCTAGCTTTGGTGACAAATGAATGCGACGAAGAAAAATGGCATTCTACTCTGATAAGTGCCAAAACAGAAGAACCCCTTTAAACATGCATTGACCCCTAAAAGAGAAGCACAAGCCGGGTATAAAACGAACTGCGCAAAAGTAGAACTTAAATTGCACAATTGCACACATGAAAATAAACTCACGCTGTAAGATTGGATGCTGCACAAGTATGCTAGAGATGTATTATAAAAGCTAGTGTTAGAAGCTTATTCGTTGACTATACTACTATAGGTAAAAGAATAGAAGTATAAAGTGAATTTAGCCCGTACTTAGGCATTCTGTGATGTGAGTTTGCACAGCGCACGCGTAACTGACGCCTTAACCCTCCAGGGTTAGTTTAACCCTCAGGGTTGATGAATGCGGCCACAGGTTCGTTGATCGATACGGGTAGATCGCGTTCCGTGGTAAACCCTAGCCTATGGTTGATGAATACGGCCAATGAACCCTGAAGGTTAAACTAACCCTGGAGGGTAAGCTTAACCCTCAGGGTTCGTTGATGAATACGGCCACTGGTTCAAAACTGCAGCATGACACTTTTTTCCAGAGAAACCAATGACAGATCGAAATAAATTTTGTTTTTTAGGCGACTGAGTTTGCGCATACGTAGATGAGAATCTTATTTTCTTAGGAATAAACTGAGTGTCTTCGAAACAGCTCTATCAATTCCACGTTTTGCTCGATTTTGTGTACTACAAACAGAGGACGCTTTTACAATGCCAAAGTCTTATGTGGAGACAACCTTCAAGATACGAAATCAGCGGGTAAGCTTGGGAATTTATTTCCAATAAAGAATGTAAGCCATAACGGACATCCTTAGATCCTCGACTGGGTGATGGACACCTTTTTGATTGATATCGACTATCCCATCGATCCAGAAGAAGATATGATGGAAATTCGATTTCTTGGGCTGGCATCAAAACGAGACCAACAGCTGTGCATCAAGCATTATCAATCTGATGGCAAGGTAATCGACGCATAGCGTACATACAGAGCATTACTAATCTAAACTTTATAGACTTTAATCTATCACGAATGTCTGGAAACTGTAGGGAACATCATACAATCGCTGTGTGACTATTTCGTGGTTGACAACCTGGAGTCCCATGCAGAGTTCCCTGAGAAGTTCGCCGAAGTGGAAGAGATTTGCAACGAGGTGAGATTTTTTGGAATAAATTTTGTGAAGACATTTTGAACCATTATTTACATACTCGAGCATGGTTATTTAGCTCGATTCCATGTATGATGTCCGCGACCGTTTGACTACCGATTTATCAGAGAAGCAAGCTTTGCTCATGGAAGTTGTGGTCAGAGCAGAAGATGCCATAGTCATCGATGATCTGTAAGTTTTGATATCAAAGGATAGGAATGTATGCTCCAGTTATTTTTAACCTCATATGTGAGTCTGCCTGCACACTATGCGCCATAATTGACGACATCGTTACTAATTCCTCACAATCAGTAACTTTTCCTAGCGTAACAAAGCTCAGAAATGACCAATCAGATAAAAGAGACAGGCAATCAAGTAAAAAGCACTAGAAATAAGCAGTTAAATCTTACAAGTCGTCAAATAGCGTGCATCGTATGCAATACGCATTGAGGTAACCTCGATATCATCCCATATGTCTTCCCTCAACATGACGTGGATTACGTGGCTTGATGAGGCGCCGCCTCGCCTCGGGCTCGCGCCACATTGCGAGCGCATCATTTGGCGCGACGTGGCGCTCAACACAACGTGGCGCAGACTTTTCCACGTTCTTCTTGTTGCCACATCACGCCGAAAATGCGCACGCAACGTGGCGCGAGCCCGAGGCGAGGCGGCGCCTCATCAAGCCACGTAATCCACGTCATGTTGAGGGAAGACATATGGGATGATATCGAGGGTATATATTACTCGACGCTACGAATACGGTGCGTCATGTTAGTATAATGCCCATGCGCTGGCGACATCATATGCACAAAAACAACCATGCTTGGATTTCCGTCAACTTGGCGTGACTTGCGAGTAAAAATGAGACCGCCCACTATAACTACTTACGCGCAAATATTGTCAGCAACGCAAGGACACTATCTCCAACGTCACTATACTAAACCGTGTATAACCTGACAGATATTACTCGCTAAAATCATGTAAAGATCCCTTCAATGGTACAACTCGTTTTTTAAAATTATATCATGATTTTTAGAGATCTGGTCAGGAAATACTACACACGCCTTCGTCATCTGGATCGTAGTGTTCGACAGGCATTCCATTTGCGAGCAAATAATCATGAAAGATTCGTTCAGTCATTGAGAAGACTTCACAAAATCATAGAGCAAGCAGCTAAACTCAGATGTAAGTGTATTTTAGCTCAAATTGGCCACTACCACATGAAAATATTTAGGTGGGGAACCAAGTCGCAAGATAGTTTCTGCTTGTCGTGAAGCAATCGCCGACGACAATAAGAGCATTTTAGCGAAATACTTGAAGTTTGGTGTTTGAATGAATGTCTATATCTGTAAGTCTAGGTCCAAAACATAATCTCAGGATATCAATCAAGTTTTCAGAGGGTTTATTTTTTTTTCAATGGAGGTATACATACGAGGAATTCAAGAAAGAGCATCAAAAATTGAACAACTCAGGCGAATGATCGTTAAAGACACACGAAGAGATGAGAACAACAGAAAGTAAAAAAGTCCAAGCGAATCGTTCATACAGTGTGTGTTCCATCTACTCGGTTAGCTACGGTGAAAGTCTGATTTCGTTTGATTCTTAAAAGAAGATAGTGAAAGGTTTGTGTGCCGATCAACGGCTGAGTGAAGCTAGAAATTTTTATCGAATGCTGTAAAGTTGAATCTTTTAGTTTTTGCAAATAAGTTAGGGTGTAGAATGATAAGTTGGTTAAATATGATCGAATGTTATGAATAGAAAAATGATTGAGTACAGTCGTGATAATTACAAACGGATGCAGCAATGTTAAGGTTGCATGACGAAAGGTACTAAAGTAGATAATTAATGTAATTAACCCACCCTAGGTAAGAAACGAATCGGAGGGAAAAAAAGGAATGAAGAAAGAGCTAAAACTAAAGGAGTCGGTTATTGTCACCGTTGCGGATTCAACGCTTCGTGCAGTAGAGATCCCAAACGATGTTGTACGTCTTTTTTCCAAGCTTTTTGCTTCTTCACATGACGATAGAAATCCTCCAACAGAGTGTGCGCTGTGGGCGCATGCGGTATACGCATGAAGGCTGTAATGGCTGCCAGAAGCAATTGATGTGCCTAGAAGATGAATTTCCTGTTTTCTTGATTTGCGAAAAGGGAACAAAGATAAGAAGAGACTTACATCTTCCATATCGCTGCTGTTGAAGCGATTATGACTGAGTTTCACACCGGCAGCAGCGTAGAACTGCTCGATGCATCGCTCATATAATTCCGCCGTTGACGGATGAGCATATGTTTGCAGCATGACCGCTCGAGTCTAAAATCATGAGATTTCGTAGAATTAACAATATGAAAGGCCTTGGTGATTTTATGATAATCAAAATGAGTTTCACATCAAAGCTCCGAACAAAATTACTTACCCTGCCAGCAACATGTGCAAAAGCTTTACTTGAGGGAGTAGGCTGTGGAGGAGGTATCGAACGGTTCATCGGAGGCATAGAGTACTGTTGAGGGTACGGTGGAAGACGGCTGTAAAATGTAAGCTACAGCAGTAAAATAACCTTGCGATAGCAAAATAAGGTCAAAAGGATCAGATAACACTGTAACAAAATGAAGCTTGCCCAACTTACCTATTTGCCTCCATGGCAAATTGAAAGAGCAAGAATGGAGATGAGACGGCCTTAGCAACAGCGTCGAGGAAATTGATAAAATATGGAGTACCCAGTTGTACAGATATAGTGAACAACCATCGAATATCTTCGGCGTATGGGGGAGTCTAGATTTTACGCTTGTGTCGAGATTCATGAATATTCGAAAAGTGTACCTGGGAGTACTTGCTATACTGCCGCGTTTCATCACTGGCGCTTGCTGCCATTGTGGCTAAAGCACGGATTCCAACGCGGTGCGCGTTCACGAGTCGTGGCCGTGTATCCGATCCGGGCTGAGCACCTAGTCTACCTGATAGCTGGGGTGCTGACTGGCTCTGATGTAGTCTGCCCATTTCGTTTACAGATAGCCCGCTGCTGCTCGGTTGGCTGGAAAGGAAAATATCTAGCTATTCGACCCACCCAGTATACGCATCCTCAAAATACCTGACAGGAACTGGGGGAGGATTCATGAAACCATTCGACTGTGAGGGATGAATGTGAGGGTAGTAATATTGTTGGTGTGCGTGAGTAGTAGGCTAAATTAAGGAATTACATGAACAAATGACCCAATTCTAGCTGAAACAAATAGCACTTACGATGTTATAATATTGTTGGTGTTGAGGGTTAGAAGCATATTGCATTTGTTGTGAGGATGGTTGATTATGATGTTGCTGATGTACAGACACGGCCGGCTGATCAAGCTCATAATGAAGATCGTGCCAGTAGCGGGCGACTCGGAAGAGCACGTCCGCAAATACAATTTCTTGGTTGGCCGCCTAGAGGAAGCAGTGAAATAGGTTTCATCAGTGGCGCGAAAGACTCAAATCTTCACCTCTTCTATGGCCCTGCACGCACTCTCAAGTAGTGAAGCTCCTTGTTCACGACATTGCAGAAGGGCACGTTGAGTTTCTGCAGCACTTAGTGTGTAGGCATATGGTAATACAGATAAGGCCAAACGTGCAGCTTCCTCCACGACGGCAGGATCACGAGACTGACCAGCCTAAACGAAAATTACTTACCCGTGCAGGCACAACTCCAAAGGAGTATCTCGTAAGGTCACAGATACCAAAATAACATCACCCATACAGACCTTGTCAGCTAATCCTGCGGCCTCTGATGGTGTCAGATGAGTTGGCCAAGTTTCTCTCACCACTTCTATTGCCATCAAACCTTAACTTTTCATAAAAACGTGATTTTCATTATGATAAAGACAAAATTTGGAAGATAACTAAAGAACGGAAAGAACTCAAGTTGAACACTTGCCTAGTTCAGCAGCTTGAAGATTGATCCATGAAACATGAGTGCTATAAGTCCTTGATTTCCAGCTGGAGCACACTTGATTGTGGAGACCAATAGCGTACATACCAATAAGGAACGCACACATGTGCAACTTTCTGTTTGAAGCTAAAACTTGGCTCTTATTATTGCAAAAAAAAAAAAGAATTGACCCTCATCCTACCTAGCGGATTCTGTCCTATTGGTGCGAACACCACGGAACTCTGATTGCCACCTGCTTCTGTAAGCACACGCTTTGCAAGCTCATGCATATAATGCGCATGCGCTTCCGTGGTGCAGATGATGGGCAGGCAACGTCGCCTAAATCGGACATAGAAGTAGTAGTGAGCAATTCTGAGGTTAATACAAACTGAACAGTGCTCACTTGACTTTCTTTGGTAGCGGCCTTGGCAACTGTTCACTGGATTCGGTCACGATGGATGCAGTAGTCGGAGTGCTCCTTATGCTATCATTGCCTTCGTCAGAGGAACGTCTCGAACTGTAAAAACGATCAATTGTATCTAAGCTAACGGATGAATACACTATAATCACCTTGTTTCAACAGACTGTAGTTGTTCTGAAAGAAACTCGACTTCTTCGTCTATAGCACCGCTTTTTGAGTCCGTAGACTGCATCGACAGCGACCTAAATGGAAAGAAATGAATTGCGAAACAAACGTGATCACTGATGCATAGAAACAAGCGAACCTCTGGATCTTAGGTACTTGCGCGGGTATCGGGAATACCGGTCGCTGACCACGTTGTCCATACTTCAGGTAAACGGGATCTCGATCAAGAAAATACGCGGCGTTCGATTGATGCCATCTGAAGACAAAAAATTCAGTGAGAAATAATCACCGTCAAGGCAATCTACAGGAATTCATAAAATTCGACGAATGTAACATTTTTGGAAAAAAATTGAGAAAGAACTTACGTGTACATCCTATGAATAGACGGATCAAGCAGTTTGTCCAAGATCAAGCCCAATTTTTCAGTAGAATCTCGATGCCTAAATTTTAGCCAGTCTCGATTACTATCGTAGACGTACAAGTATCCTAGTAGGAGTGTAGAACTTGATCAAAATACGGCAGAATAAAATCAATTTCTCATAAAAGCTAATTTAAATCGAAGTTATTACTGAGGCAAAGTTGGTAACAAACCTTGTCAGCAGTGCTATGGCAAGCTCGCCCTTTTGCCTCCGAGCTGCTTCACTCAGCAATGGATAGTCCTCTTCCGAGAATAAAGGACGAGCACCTATGGCGTCTAAAGCAGCTTTCAACGCTAGATCATCATCTTCGATACGGCGCGAACCAACTCGAGTAGGAATAATCCTAGCACTAGGTTGCCTAAATAGTTAGTTTCAAAAAACGAAAACGGAAAGCCACAAAAACCTACGCATTCTGATCCAATTCGCAAACATTGAATGAGTAACTTAGTCTGTCTAATATAAAATGTGCCAAGGCTATTGGTGGCACTAGTTGGGTTGCTACGGCAGCAGCCATTTGCATGGCTGCATCTCTAAGTTGTTCCAGTTCACGATCGCCTATGTTTGCAGTTTGCAGCAGCGATACGATTTCACCCTCCTAAGAAAGACCGTGAAGCTTGTTCCAGGTATGCGCAAGAAATGGCTTACCAGGTAATACAGCTTCACTTGCAGATATTTAGTCGCCATAGGATATTTTGGACATTGGAGAACATTAAGAAGAAAAGTAAACATTCCTGCGTGGTTGGCTTCATCGGTACTCAAAATCTAAACGATATAAGTACGTAAAAATATTATCAAGGAATATCAATGTATATGACGCGGAACTCACATGTGCAAGGTAAAGCGCTTTTTCCACCGCATCTACAAACTTTTGACTTCGCTGAACAAAAGAATCAGCGGAATGTGCTGCATTATCTGCGCTAGTACTTGGTGCGTTTACCTAAAACAGTACATGACACGGGAGATTGAGAGAAGAAAAGCGTAATACTTACGTGGTGCGATCGAGCATCTTCGGCATCAGAAAGATCTTGGAGGTGACCGACAAGGTATCTCGACAGTTGCAAAGCCAGAGTGGTCGCCTAAACTTGGATTCATACTAGGTAAGTGGAAATGGGCTGTAAAGTATGCAAGCAGCAGGCATAATTTACAAAAACAGAAATTTTGAGAATTCTACGAAACTGATCTAGGTTTTAAAACTCGCAAAATACTAAAAGACATAAAAAAGTATTTCGGAGGCATGACTATGTCACACTTATTCATCAAAAAACAATTCCTCTCGTCGCCTCCAAAAAAACTTGCGCCTTTTGTAAGATAGTGAGTGTTAGGGAGAGACACCAGGCGGTCAGAGGGATGAAAGTGCGTCTGATTTGGAAGACGCAGACAGCGTCCGTATTTACGCCTGTCTCAGCGTGCGATGATTAGCCTATACGCGCAACAGTATGCACACTGCCGAATAGTTTACCTGGGGTATATATCCATGCGCTGCAAGAGCTTCACAACGAGCAAATCGAACTTCAATCGGATCCATGGGAAGATAAGCCGCAGCCAATACAGCATCAACTTCTTCATGAACAAGAGCGCTTGAAACCGCTGCTTGGCCATCTGCCATGATTCCGGCAGAAGAAGGGAGCTAAAATCAACATTTACAGGAAAGAAGCAAAATTAAAATCGCAGCAGCATAACTTGTCAACTTCACAGTTTATTGTGAAGTCATATGAGCTGTCAGAAGATCTTTTCAGAGGTTCAAATAAATCAAGATCACCTACCTGAACGTCGCTTTCCTGTCCAGATTCTGAGCTATCGTCTTCGTGCATGACTTCCTCATGCAAACCCCGTCGACGACGTTCATCATTCTGAGATCATAATCTAATAACCCTGTATATCTGAGCAGGTCTAACAAAGATATTGCCACAAAAAGGACATAAAGTAAAATAAAATAAGACTAGCTAACTCCAACAGCGGCTCGAATTGCATAACGAACAGCACGATCCAACGAAGCTTCATCGTTGAAAATAGGAAGGGGAGGAAAGTCCAGGGAAGCTAGAGCAGCTGAGGATCGCATGCGATTCTGAATTTGTACAGTATATCACTACTAGATTCAAAACTTTAGTGGAAATAACCTTTCGTTTCTTTTTCTTGGATTTTTCGTTCCTCTTCTGCATTGATCCAACTGTCAAAGGTTGCAATGGTACATTTGCCTCGCTACCACATGCCTGTTCAAATGCATTTTATGAACGCCACGGAATACTGCAAAATTACGAACCTCGGGAAGATGCAAGACCGCAATCTGACTGACTCCTGGTACCGTTTCATCAATCAATGCATGACAAACCTGATTAATAAATAAGTCAATGTATGAACAAGTCCAAGATGTAAAGGACAACCTGCAGTGCCGGGTGAAATCCAGGGAACTCCAACAATCCAAAATGAGCATTATTTGCAGACAATGGGCAATTATTTGCATCTTGGATGGAATTCAAAAGTAACGCTGCCTAAAGATAAGGAATTGGACTTTGCTGATTGATGGTATGTAAAGAAGGTAACTGCACAAAAAGATTACAGCCTAACCTGGTGGCTGCTACTAACGACAGCAGCGTCTTGTCCCCCTGTTCCACGTATCACTTTCCATATCCGATCAACTGCTGTGCGGTGATAAGTCCGTAATAAAGCTGCCAGCTGGAACAGCTTACCGTAATCCAGCCTGATGAGGATATACAACTAAACAACATGAACAGCAAACCTGTCGTCGATTTTGGGGTGAAAGCATTGGATTCAGTACAGCACAGCGCCACAGAACCACGATCTCGTCGCATAACTGAGCACAGTTCAACTGTGCGCTTATTTGACTGCTCGCCGAATTTTTGCCTAAAAAGTGAAAGGTAAGGACTGTTTTTGATTAAGGAATTTACCTGTAGTCTGCTGGGACCAGCTACCGCTCTGTACGAGTTTCGTTGCATACCACCATAAAAGAACCTGAATGGATTCACTTCCTCAAAAAGTTCATGTACAAAGAAAAGTTAGGCGATGGTAAAATGTTGAAATATTACCTGACAGTTAGCAAGACATTCTACAGTAAGTATGCTCAGTAATGACACAGCGTTTTCATCTCGTCGCGCAAACATTTCACGTACAATTGCCATCAAGTTCCAGATCCCTAAAAATCTTTTTTTTTCAAAATAAAAGATGAAAGATAGACTGAAAAATGAAATGCTGATTCAATGTTGAAATGTTGTTTTTTTTTTGCTGTATTGGTGATGGATATTTTCTCATAGCCCTTCTGCCGAGGCGACTTGAAAATTAGAGTAGCTAAGTACAGTAAGTATATACACATACCTTCTGGTTCTCTGGCACGCAGCGACTTCATTACAGTCAACCACTCAGCAGCAATTGGATGCTGAGCAGTACCAAGATATTGTACATCACTAAAATATGTAATGCAAAAACAGATCTGCGTTGAGAACATGAATGTAACTCACCAATGGACTGTCGGAGCTGGTACGCAGTACTTGATAAGCAATTTGCGGATGCTGGTATGGAGACCATCAACATCTAAGGCCCATATCGCTGTCTAAAACACAAAACTCAACTAGCGACATTGTTAGCACGAACTTAAAAATCCTTGAAACAAAGAAAAAATATGCATGACTAACCAGCTCATGCCCACCATCGGTAGGGTCTGGCGCTCCATGGGATAGATTAATCTCAGACTCAGGGCATTTCAACTGGTCTAGGAGTCTTTGAGCAATAGGAAGATACTGAAATGAGATGTGAAGGTACATGAGACTGAGAATAAAGCTCAATTCCTCACCTCCTTGGGCAGCTCGTTCACTAGATATTGCGCAAATTTCTTCAGTTTATCAACCGAGAGCTCATTTACAGAATCCCATATGGTAACTCTGAAAATGAAAATAAAAATTTACATTCTACTGCGGATGAAAAGGCGAGCTGATTTTCAAAACTGTTGCTAGTAACCTCACGAGTAGTGGATAAGAGAAGAAAAGCACTCAAAGTCACTTATTGAGAACTCGAAATAAAAAAATGTGTTCAAATTGAGAGCGCACCTAAACTGAACCTGATCGGGCCGGTGTATTCTGTACAAGCACAGCGCCACAACATGTTGACACCAAGCCGACTTTGACGGACAGGAACAGTCGCATGATACAACTCTACATCTGGAAGCAATTTAGATAGTGTCATGTCAACAGTAATTTTAACAAGTGTCATTATGCAGGTTCAGATAAATAAAAGAAAATCTGTATGAAGCGTTTGATGAGAAGTAATTATTCATCAAGAAACATTTTTTTGTAGCACTCTTCGAGAGTCGCGATCTCAAAATCGTGAAACCACTAAGCCCGCATGCAAAAAGGATGTTCCCAGATGGTACCAAAGGCTTCTTTGATTCAATTCGACAACGAAATCACGTGCCAGGCACATAAGCGTGCCGGGTTCAGCCCCCGCACGCATCCAATCTTGAAATGTATAAATTAATGAAAGGCGTACGCTTGAAAAAACGAGCGCGAAAGAACATGTAACGCATTGAGTATTACACAGGATTGCTGTTCTTGATGCTGCAACCATACAATAAACAGCTGGTCAGTTGCAGACGCAGAAGACAGGATGTTAAGTTTCACATACCTATCTACACTCAAAGAAACGTTGTGAGTAGTTCGCATTCTCTGCGGTTGCAGACAGTCTTGATGAGCGGCGCATACCACAGCTGAGAGGAGATAACCTACAAAAGAGAATATTCAAGTTCTGAATTGTATGTTTGATACACATATAATTTTTATTTTACACATATAGTAAGGAAAGGGCGTGTAAGCAATGAAGTGCACAAAAAATCAACCATGTCGAGCGTACCTATTTGAACAACATCTTTGACAGCGCCTGTCTGATAAAGGGCATCGCCGTTGTTGAACTCATCAGCGTTCCCATTCGCCAAACAACTATAACAAAAACCAATAGAAGCAGCGACGATCAATAAGATATGATAAGAGAAAACGGATGATAGATAATTTCGCATTAAGTTATGACTTCATTCAACTGCTGCAAAATCAGCCAGTAACAAAATATGTGAGTTAATCTGACCTATACAATCGAATATCATCAGCCGTAGCCGGAAAACACCAGTAAACCACGCTCAGGAACAACTTATCCGGTAGCGAATGTGAGACGGGTATCTCGCTTACCTGAAAATAACACATACTAACTCGATGAGAAAACAATGAGGAACTAAATACGCACATTTTCCCTGTTACGGCAAATATCGCGATAGTTCCGTTCCAAGTCAACAAAGGACATCTGACGAGCGCATACTCGAGCAGCCAAGTCAGCCAATGACGAGACACTTTTTATGACTGAATAGAAGAACATCTGGCTAAGAGAGGAACAACATAATATGTATGAAATCAAGGAAAAAAAAGAAAACACGGGTCAGAACGCTCAAAATTTTTACTGAAAAAAAACCTTTTTCAGCGGGCACACTGCGCTGAGGAACAGTATTGGACGAAGAAGAAAAACGACCAGAATGGGAGTAGTTGTTCTGGTAAGGATAGATGCATGATTGCATCCCTATAACCACAATTCTTGCGAACATGAACGACTGAATAGGATGAAATACTGTCAACTTACCTGACGGAAGAGAATCCCCTGGAGATGACTGCGACCATCCTCGCCAATTTTTTGCCAATGTAATGCTTTCGCTTGAGACCCATGAACACTCGGAATCACCCTCAAAACGATCCGAGTCCTAAATTATTGGCGCTTTAGAAAGTGACGAATTCGCCGCAGAGAGCTATATCGTTATTCTAATGGGATCCAGGTGATAAATAAGAATGCATGTATGATGACCGCAACTGATGTAAAAAAATGATATGTAACGGCTAAGAAACCATGAAAATGGAGTTCTACAAGCGAAATAAGCTTATAAGTTATACTGCAGAAAATATATATGAAAAGTACTGACCATCGAAAGAAAAGCAAAATTAGCACGAAATCCAACAAATTGCTTACCTCGAACGAATCGGGCGCCGGATGAAGCATGTCAGGAGCTTCACGAGCAGCCGCCTGTACTAACCAGTCATCCTCGCCGGACATCCCATTCGAATCCAATCTGAATAGAAGCATGTATTTAGCCATATAAATGTGTTGCAGCAAGAAATATCAGGAGCTCAGGCGTTGGTAAGCGCGAAAACGTATTGATAAGGACGCACGAAAGATGGAAACTTTATAGGATTCGAGTCGATGTGGTCTATTAGAGTTTGTGTCAAAGCTGGAAAAGGCAACTCAAATCCCACGCCTTACGACGAATTCCGAATCTGACATCCACTCCAACATGGCCTCAATTTTTCCGATGTAGCATATGTCTTTAGTTGACTCTAACCTATCCAAAAGGTAAATGAACTTTCCGAGCTTAATAGGTTAAATTCCACTGCAAACGTTTTATTGCTCCCTGTTGGCAGGCGACAACTGGAGCTCGAGGATATCTTAAAATGTATTTTTCCAGAGAGTGTAAATGACTAGATGATTAACTTGATCAAAGATCACCTTGTTCAGAAAGATCAATGTGACCATGAAACAGCAAATTCAGTCCTTGAGGTGGGAGGGGGAGAGGAAATGATCAAACTTGATTGTGTCATTTGTGCTCAGAGACAAATGATCTAGCAAATACCTTCGCGAATTATAGATAACTACAGGTAGACGAAATAAAGGTAAAAACTTCAATAAACTGTTGTTAGAAGGAGGACCTTGAAGAAAACGGTGACGATGTGTGGGGAAAACTTCGGCGACCGCGATAAGCGCATGGATACGTTGAATAGAGGCTCCAAAGGCAAAAAATGAAGATGATACGCCGTTATAATCCGCAAAAGCGGGTTCGCTTCGAGCTAGAAAGGTCCAAAATGACCACCGTCAATCCAGCGGAGCCATCTGGAAGCCAGTAACACGCTGCGAGGAGAAACAAAGCAGATCCTGGAGGTTGCACTCGCCAAATCCACGACGTGCCGGGCCGTCGCGGTCGGACGAGGCGCGGCGTTCCGCTCGGTGCTGCCTGCCGTGGCCTCCCTCTGCGTCCTTGACGCATATCGCTCGAGGTTTCTGGTACGCTCCACCCTTTGCTGCGCTCTATCGCTTTTCCGTTTCTCTGTCGGAACGCGCGAGTTGTGAAATTTCAATCGAGCTTTCCGGATTTTTTCAAGCGGGCTTGTTTGGTTATTTTATTTTCTTTACAAACATCTCAAATAGTGTTTTTCCCATCTGTTGTTGCCTACGTTACTGCCAGTCATACCTTCATAATCCCTTTGGGGAAATGGAGAACTTTGGTATTCAAAGTAGTGGATGAGCTTCCGTATCGAGTTTTTGATTTCTTCATTCAATAAATTTCCTACCGCATAGGCTGCTTATCACCAAACATGATCTGGTGTAAAATAACTCATGCACAGAGGCAAGTGATTGTGGCTTGTATCAACAGTTTTCGGTGTTCCATCGTTGTTTTGTGTGGCAAGTGCACCTGAGGTAGAAAACAACTTCACATAGCTTTTCGAGGTAAATTTTGACCTCAGGATTCGTTATCCATAAGTCCATGAGCGCAATTTGCTCATCGACTAGCTCATTCGTTTTTATGCGATAGCCGCCAAAGTCACAATTTAAAAAATTGCTTTTGTGATACGTTTGAGGTGAATAGTAAACTGAAAAAGCGTTGTGGCAGATCAATTTTTTGTTAGAAAAATGTAAGCCCAAAGTAAATGTAGTATTGGCTTATGAAATTTTGGTAACACATCCTAATTTTTCAGTTTTGAATCTGTTTCGTTAACATGGTAGTGCCCATGATAGTACTGCATTAGGCTGGGTTCATACTGAGCCGCACAAAGCGGCACAGTTCCAGCACAGCGCTCGAACTGTGCTTGAAGCTGGAACTGTGCCGCTTTGTGCGGCTCAGTATGAACCCAGCCTTATTCCTCTTTTGAAGCGCCAAGAGCATGCATGTGTTTTTCAAATGACCACATCTGACCATAACCTTAGTTCAGCTCCAGATGGCAGCACAGCTGTCGCGACAACGAGCTAGTAATGCTCATCAACAGGACATTGCTCAAACTGCTTTTGAAGAAGTGACAAATGAGCAGCAGGATGAGCAGACATCATTCATACTCATAGAGAAACTAGAGGTTGTTTATCTCTGTCTGCACCTCCTAACTGCCACTGGAAATGGTTTTTTCAGCAAGCAGGAATCAGCTCAGGTGATATCAAACGTCTGAAAGAAGCGGGATTCAACACTGTCGAGCGGATAGCTCATGCCATGCGCAGTGAAATTTCGTCTGTCAAAGGAATAAGCGAGCAAAAGGCTGACAAATTGCTGGTAACCTCTCTTGATTATTGTCAAGGTTTATGAATATTATCTAGTACTAGCTGGCCTACCCGGCTCCGCCATATGTTCCGAATAGAAAATTCCATTTCTTAACCGATCCGGACCAAACTTGGCACACATACACTTCGGGCTCCGGCGGGTGTCACAGTCCACTTTTCGTTATCGATCGATGTCGATTTTATCGATTTTTTGCAAAATTTGAGCTAGGGGGCTGGAATTTGGCAGGGGGGTGTAATCGAGCATGCTGATCACCCCCACGGGGGTGATCAGCATACTCGATTACCCCCCTGTGCCAACTCCCAGCCCCGTAGCTCAAATTTTGCAAAAAATCGATAAAATCGATATCGATCGATGACGAAAAGTAGCAAAAAATCGATAAAATCGATAAAAGTAATCGATAATCCTGAAAACCAATATCGTATTCGGAATCCCCATGCTCGATTACCCCCCTGTGCGAACTCCCAGCCCCGTAGCTCAAACTTTGCAAAAAAATCGATAAAATCGATAAAAGTAATCGATAATCCTGAAAACCAATATTGTATTCGGAATCCCCATGCTCGATTACCCCCCTGTGCCAACTCCCAGCCCCGTAGGTGAACTCAGCAAAAAAATCGATAAAAATCGATAAAATCGATATCGATCGATGACGAAAAGTAGCCTATGACACCCGCCGGGGCCCGTAGCGTATGTGTGCCAATTTTGGTCCGGATCGGTTCAGAAATGGAATTTTCTATTCGGAACATACGTACACACATACAGACAGACATACAGACATACATACAAACAGACATTCAGCTTTATATATAAGATAACATCTTTTGAATGAGAGCCTACCTCTTTCCACAAATTTCTAATGTATCCACCTTGATCTTCAGGTTTTTGTAGACTTTTGAAAATAGATGTTTCTTTTTTCTTTCTTTTCCATGTAAGCCTGTAAATTTGTGTAGAATTTTGAAATTAAGCAACTTCCAAGTGACAGTGGGTTTGATTTTTCCTAGCATGAAGCCATGAAGTTAGTGCCGATGGGTTTCACTACTGCTTATGAGGTTCATGAACGACGTAGCGAGCTAATTCAAATCCGCACTGGTTCATCGGCACTGGATAGGCTTATCGGTGGAGGAGTAGAGACGGGCCACATCACTGAGGTCAGCAGATTTCTTGTGATTTCTCTCGCTGTTTTATCCAATTTTCTACCACCACCGCACTTCCAAAAATTTTTTTACTTAGATATTTGGAGAGTATCGCACAGGCAAAAGTCAGCTTTGTCATAGTTTGGCGGTCATCTGCCAGTTGCCTATCTCGATGGGAGGTGCAGAAGGTGTGTCGGCTTGAAGTCTTCCCTGAAAAGATAGTTCATTCATACAGTGTGCTAAAATTGCTAGGACTGAATATTTTTAGGAAAGTGCATGTGGATTGATACTGAGGGAACATTCCGACCGGAACGATTGGTACCAATTGCTGAGCGGTAATAACCTATCGCACATTATGCTTGTATACTATTACCGCATCTTTGTAGATTCAATATGGATAGCAAGCATGTGCTGGAAAATATAGCTGTAGCTAGATGTTACAACTCAGATCACCAAATCGCCTTATTGACTACTGCAGGTGGGCCCATCTGACAGCACATAGATACAGTAACGAATGCTGACTAAGAAAACGAACAAAACATATATTGGGAATTTTATACGTAGTTATGTCACTTTTGCAGCAGCCATGATGGCTGAGAGTCGATATGCTCTGCTGATTGTGGATAGCGCCACTGGATTGTTTAGGTTGGTAGACGTTTTGTTCTTCACTGCACTAATTAATCTTAACCTTTCTAGGAGTGATTATTGTGGCCGAGGAGAGCTAGCAGCGAGGCAAATGGCTCTGTCTAAGTAGGTGCAAATCATCTCTTGCAGCATTTTGCAAGTTCTATTCCTTTGCTCTTCAAGATCATGTAGATTTTGACCGCAATGTACCTAATAAGGAATGTTGGGACAGAATAACGTTATTCTGACTCTTTTACAAACAGAGACTACTAGTGAGTATTGAATATTGGAATGTTTGCAGAATGATGCGATTGCTGATCAAACTTGCCGACGAATTCGGCGTCGCTGTAGTGATAACAAATCAGGTAATCTTTATTGGAAACTAGCTGGCTTACCCGGCTCCGCCGTATCCGGACCAAACTTGGCACACATACACTTCGGGCCCCGGCGGGTGTCACAGTCCACTTTTCGTTATCGATCGATGTCGATTTTACCGATTTTTATCGATTTTTTTGCAGAGTTCACCTACAGGGCTAGGAGTTGGCACAGGGGGGGAAGTGAGCATGGGGATTCCGAATACAACATTAGTTTTCAGGATCGTCCATTACTTTTATCGATTTTATCGATTTTTTTGTAAAGTTTGACCTGCGGGGCTGGGAGTTTGCACAGGGGGGTAATCGAGCATGCTGATTACGAACACAATATTAGTTTTCAGGATCGTCCATTACTTTTATCGATTTTATCGATTTTTTTTGTAAAGTTCGACCTGCGGGGCTGGGAGTTTGCACAGGGGGGTAATCGAGCATGCAGATTACGAACACAATATTAGTTTTCAGGATCGTCCATTACTTTTTCGATTTTATCGATTTTTTGAAAATTTGAGCTAGGGGGCTGGAATTTGGCACAGGAGTGTAATCGAGCATGCTGATCACCCCCCTTGGGGGTGATCAGCATGCTCGATTACCCCCCTGTGCGAACTCCCAGCCCCGTAGCTCAAACTTTGCAAAAAAATCGATAAAATCGATAAAAGTAATCGATAATCCTGAAAACCAATATTGTATTCGGAATCCCCATGCTCGATTACCCCCCTGTGCCAACTCCCAGCCCCGTAGCTCAAACTTTGCAAAAAAATCGATAAAATCGATAAAAGTAATCGATAATCCTGAAAACCAATATTGTATTCGGAATCCCCATGCTCGATTACCCCCCTGTGCCAACTCCCAGCCCCGTAGGTGAACTCAGCAAAAAAATCGATAAAAATCGATAGAATCGATATCGATCGATGACGAAAAGTAGCCTATGACACCCGCCGGGGCCCGTAGTGTATGTGTGCCAAGTTTGGTCCGGATCGGTTCAGAAATGGAATTTTCTATTCGGAACATACGTACATACAGACAGACAGACATACAGACAGACAAACAGACATTCAGCTTTATATATAAGATTACGAGTTTTTCTCGATTAATTTATGTAAATATTTGCAGGTTGTTGCCCAAGTTGATGGAAGTGCGATGTTCCAAATGGATGCTAAGAAACCTATAGGAGGGAATATCATTGCTCATATGAGCACAACTAGGTTGGTCAGCTACAATTTTTGCTTTTGTGAACGAAAATGAAACCTAATCCAGCACTGAATGAATTTGTTCCAACCTTGTGTAAGTATACGCAGATTATGTGTAATATCTGCATGTACTCCTCCTCCTCCTACTGTAAGGATGGACAGTCAGGATCTTTGACTTGTGGCATTCTTATTTAGGCTGGGATTGCGTAAAGGTCGAGGCGACACAAGGATTTGCAAAGTGCACCAAAGTCCCAGCTTACCAGAATCAGAAGCAACTTTTGCCATCACAACTAACGGGATAGATGATGCCCCTGAATGATAGTTTCTGATTACTGCAAGTGTTCTTTCACCAAAGCGAGTTACGATATCGTGTAATTATCAGCATCTGATCGTATCCACACCGTGTATTCCCATATGCCAGTCATTTTTGTTATCGAAGTCGTTACTACCTGTTCGCCTATCTTTCACAACATTTGTTCCTGTATATCAAATTTTCCACATCAGTGAATTCAGCTATTATGATATCATCACATCTCCGGTAAAATGAAGTCTCGTTACGTCCTTCTCCTGGTATAAAGTTTCTGTGATTTTTTATCGTTTTTTGACAGGAGGTTGATTACCCTCAAAAATTTCTTTTCCTCTCTGTGCACATATTAAAATCGACAAATATATGGAGCAAGCGAGCATAATTGCCTGCAAGTGTTTTTTTTGTATACATCGTTCTATCCTTTTTTTCATAGTTTTTCGTCTTGCAAGCATTAGCGTCAAACTCAGTGCTTTCTTGGGATTAGACTGTTTGATTTTGCAGTGTCATTGATTCATCAGTGTGAGATTATCATTTTTACTCCATATCGTGGATGTAGTGATGGAAAGAAATGCATCGCGGAAACCTGTTGGGGCTTGACCTGTTTTGAGATCGCGAATTCCGGCTACACATGCTTGTCTTTCAAAGAATGGGAATAATCCTCTTTCTCTTTCATAAGAATTCGTGAACTTGCTGTCAAAGTTTTTCACAATAATTTGCATATGTTGCTAATTAGCATAATCACTAAAAATTGCTCTTTTTTGAGTGAGTTAATTAGCGGCTATCACTATCAAGCCATCATTTTTTGAAATCCAAATTACAATTTCGACTTTTGCTTCCGAATTCCCAAATACATATTTTGCATTTTGCTCCGCTGAAATTCCATCTCATCTGAATCGTCGTTCGTCTCATTCGTGAACCTCTTACCACCTTTTCTCCGCTATTCTGCTTCCTAATCGTAGTTTCCTTACAATAATTGATAGAAAGATTATATTCCTCTTCCTTCTCTCATTGATGATTTTGAAATTGGCATATTACTTCGTTCAATGTAGAGTGAAAAACCGAATGTTGTCATGGATACACATATTTTCTCTCAGCTTAACGCCCACTTCAACGCCCCCCCCCCTCCCACCGCTCTTTTTTCTTTAGTGCATTGGAATCCGTAATTTTTTTCAAAAGTAAAGGGCCAGGAACTGTGGAGGATTTTATGGCAAATTCGGTCTGCTTCACATGTATACTTTGAACGATGAAAGCAGGATAACCCTTTGTTTGCGCTATTTTGTCCCATGCCTACGACTTTCGCAGATGTTTCGCTCTAGGAGGTTGGTTGTACTTCCGAGTAAGCTATCGATTTTTCTCCTCATGCTGTCAAAACAAGGCGAACTTATTCCTGCAATGCCTTTCTTTGAATATTAATTTAAATATTTATAATATTTATTTATAATGATATTCGCTGTGAAAATGCTTGACCTTTACATCCTCTTCTTCAGCTCGGTCGTTTCGATTTATGATTTGCTTTTCAGACTAACTTGTTTGCAGTTATGTCACCTGCTAACCTTTCTTCATGCCAAAACCCCCAGAGGGGTAAGATCACATGCATACTCGGGCCAATGTTCAGTGGAAAAACGTAGGTTATTGCTAGTTTAGCATCGAATTTCAAAGAGATGTTGTTTTGCACTCGTTATAGTTATCCTAGCCGTACTGCGTCTGCTACAATATTGTGGAAAGCAGGAAATAGTCCTCAATAGAATGTTTAGGACTGAATTGCTTCGCATGCACGATCGTCAGATGATTGCTCGTCGCAAATGTGTTCTTGTAAAATACGCAGGGGATACTCGTTACGATCCGGAACTCGTAGCCACACATACGCAGTATATGCTTTTTGCGGCTTTATTCTTATTACGTTAGAGCTGTAATTTTTTAGAATGAAAGGACAGGGAATCACATTGAAGGCACATAAACTCGCTGAAGTAGAGGCACAGATCTTTGACCCGACTGTACAAGTGGTGTCCATTGATGAGGGCCAATTCGTAAGTCCGCTTTCTTGTTCGTTTCTAGATGATGACTGCATTCTATGAGTTCATTACGCTGACATCATCCGCTTCAGTTCAGTGACTGCGCGGAGACTTGCGACCGCCTGGCAAATATGGGAAAAGTGGTCTATGTCGCAGTACTGAACGGCACGTTTGAACGCAAGGTACGGTGGTTTTGTACTGCAGACTTATGACTTCCTTTTTTTGCTTTGATACTAAATCTCACTTCTTCTTTGATGCTGCAATTGTTTGCTTCGTCGCTGTCGCAAAATGTCATTCTTCAGTCAAATTTTCACATGTCTCGAAGATTCGTTACTACATTTATTGTAGCCGTTTCCACAAGTATCATTATTGTTACCATACTCTGATGAGATTAAACAAGTTGTGGCCGTTTGCGTTGGTTGTGGAGCAGACGCAAGCTACTCCTTTCGCAACACTCTGGACAAGAAAGTAGGTTTTTCTCGGTTATTTTGAGAAATGCACCCATTGCTATCATATGAAATTATCATTAGTCGAACGTTAAATTTTGCTGGAGTTCCGGTTTTTTCATTTTAGGTGGAAGTGATAGGAGGTCAGGATACATACCGAGCTTTGTGCCGAGCTTGTTACATGGAAGAGTCATCCCGTCGTGGATTGGATCTAGAAAATAACGATGGAGAGAACTGCGTCCAAAGCGATCAACAGCTGATCAAAGGAGATGAATTGGCACTTTTAGATTTGCCACGCAAGGTTTTTCGTGCGCAATAGTTAGGTTTGGATTGTTGTAACTTATTCTTTTGCCTTTGGCTGCTCATGTTATCTCTTTCACTTTGATTCATGCATATCATTTTCAATGATGCACTTGCCATATGTACCATTACCTATACTGTGGTTGTTATTTTTGCCATTTGTCACACTTTTTCAGTCTAGATCATGGTGTGGTCTCTAACTGATTGACTTGTCTGTAAATTTATCAAGCAAAGTTAACTGTCTCTGGAAGAAAATACACAATGTATCGTACTAACAAGCAATCTATGACATACTCCATTAACGGCACCGTCCGCCCAAAATGGAGGTTGGCGAGATTATGATGGCATACCAGTGTGGACCCCCAGACTAGGCAAACCCCCAAGCTTCGCCGCGACTGCTTCTGGAGCGAGAAATCCGCTCCGGAAATAGCAAAGTAGGCGGGCGACCATGGTCGCCCCGCGCACTTGCATGCTTTAGCTCGCTTGCGCTTGTTGCAGGGGTTCTCAAAACAGGGTTTTTTGGGGGTTTCGCGGATTTTCGACTCTATATTCGGCTTCAGGGCTTTCAGTAGGCCTGAAGGCGACAAAAACATTGAATTCGAGATTTTGGGTGAACGGTGCCTTTGATGAGTATTACAGCTCATGTTAGTCAGGGCTTGCTCCTCCTTGTTTATGATCGTTTCCTGGCAAGGTTTCTACCATGCTTGGGAGTCAAATTTCTAGTTATGAAACAACATAAAACACCGTTAAACCTCTGGAAGTTTAACTTTGTCTCCGCGCGTTGTGGCAAATTTCATGAATTTTTTTTTCATCAGACGCTATTGATTATCCTGGAAGTATGGTACAACCTGAGAAATCTTTCCATCCTGTAGTCGGCTCATAACTTTCTGTTCACCCGATATATTTATAGGTACGTAAATAGCTGAAGGAGAGGTATCGAGGAATTCAACAAAAAAGAATTTTTTTCTGTAGGAGTATCGGGTGGGACCAGAAGTTCGTTCGCAGGTTCTTTGAAAAATCGTAACTTCCTTTAAACTCAATGGATTTCTTTGAATTTAGATTCATCTGAAAGAGGAAACCATTCTTGTTACAGTAGTACCTTTTGTCATAGATTGGCATGAAAAAGTTTGCGAGTTAGAAGCAATTAAAGAAAATTACTCGAGATTGGCATTCTTCAATAAGGGTCACAAATTTTGGAAGTATTTTTGTTCGGTAGAGAAAATTATGCCTTTTACTACATTGCCTTCCTCATGAATTAAAACGAAATGATCGAGAGCTAGAAGTAAATAAAGAGAGTTACTATACTTTTGCAATTTTTGAGCATGCTCAAAAAGTCCAAAAACGTCGTAGAAAAGACAGAAAGTTATCAGCATGGGTTTTGTGACCTTCTCCTTCTGGCTGAGAGAAATTCGTGCCAATCGAGACAATTTTTGTGAAAAACGCTGACCCGAAAACCCGGAAATATTACAAAGCAAAATACATGTACATGTTTAATGTTTTAATTCATGGAAAAGGCAGTGTAATAGAGCATAAATTCCTCTATTGAACAAAAATACTTCCAAAATCTTTTGTGACCCTGCTTGAAAAATGCCAACCTTGAGTAATTTTCTTCAATTGCTCCTAATTGTGAACTTCATGCCAACTCATGTCAAATGGTACTACTGTAAAGAGAATGGCTAGCTCTCTTGCATAAATCTGAAATCAAAGAAATCATTGAGTAGAAAGGAAGCTACGGTTTTTTATCGAAGTCATATCACTATATGTGTGTGTAAACGAGGTAGTTATTACGGGTCAAGCAAGAGGTGTGGCACACGATCGCTGGTTACGACCCTCCCCCACCCTCTTATTGCTGTCTCAATAAGACCCCCTGAACTATATACCTAAGCTAGCATTATTTGAAGGCCCTGTCAAACATAACGGGCAACATATCCATAATTAGCATGTCAATTAACCCCTGTAGACAATGTTTCAGCGAATTCTGAAGTTTCAAGATACTGGGTCACCTAAGTGAAATCGCCATTTTCCAGCATGATTAACTTTGTTTTAAAGGTGAAGTAGCTAGCTATTTTTGCACTCAAGACAAAACACTACTCCTTCTTTGGTCACTTTAGAAATCTCGCTTCAAAAGACCTCCTAACTTTGGAATTAGAAGCCAATCAAAATCTTGTTTTTCCTATTTTTCACTTTTAATGGCTGTGCTTTCACCAAATATCACTCAGAGCTAAGAAGACGAATCAGGCTCAAAACAATTCTATGGAATCTACGAGGTCTAGGCTATCGATTCATTTAAATAAAGTTCGCTAAAAATGTCTTTTTGATATAGGTAATGGGGTGTGGCACCACCCCTAAAAAGCCGTGGCTGCAACAGCTTTTAGAGGTGGTGTCACACCCCATTAACTTACCTTCAAACAGATCAAATAGCTGCGTTTTTTATATCCTTGTTACTGCTTAACCTTCTTCTTTATATAGCAGAAATTTCATATGAAAACGTCCCTTCAAAAGCAATATATAATCGTTTTTCCTTACCTATGCAAATGTATTAGGTTGTCAAGAAAATGTCGTTTTTTATTTGATTGCTTTAACAAAGCAACCAGACTCAACCCGACAAAGGGTAAGGGGTACTGTTCGATAGAGCAAAGCAAGCTCTACAAGATGGCGTTCAAGATTTTGCGCCAAGCTCGATCCACGGATAGTTCGAATTCAAAATCTGAAGATTTCCAAATGCCCAAAAAATCGAAAAAAATCAGATCTTCGTCCAAATAATTTCTACGGACCTCCCATTCGCTCACATCAATACTATCGATATCTGATATCCATATGTGCGATTGCCGTATTTTTTCCTTGACTAGAAACTGAGAAAACGAAGATTTTCCTGATTTTCTCAAAGCAATGCTGAGCCGTTTTTGCATACGTAGTTCTATACTACAAGCCTAGGTGAGTGTAACTGTAGATTTTCAGCGCATTCCAAGCGGTGGTTTTCAAAAAATAACGAATTCGGATTTTTTGGTTTCAGTTTCAGTGCTAATATCAACATTTCTCGAAAAGTACCGCTCGAAACAGGCTGAAAACCTACAGTTATACTTACCTAGGCTTGTAGTATAGTATCACATGTGCAAAAACGGCCCAGCATTGCTTTGAGAAAATCAGGGAAATTTTTGTTTTCTCAGTTTCTAGTCAAGGAAAAAGTACGGCAATCGCACATATGGATATCAAATATCGATAGTATTGATGTGAGCGAGTGGGAGGTCCGTATAAATAATTTGAACGGAGATCTGATTTTTTTCGATTTTTTGGGCATTTGGAAATCTTTAGATTTTGAGTTCGAACTCTCCGTGTATCGAGCATGGCGCAAAACCTTGAACGCCATCTTGTAGAGCTTGCTTTGCTCTATCGAACAATGTCCATTATCCTATGTTAGGTTGAGTCTGATTGCTTTGTTAAAGCAATCAAATAAAAAACGACAATATTTTCTTGACAACCTAATAAAATACTGGAAAAATACTGCGAAAATATTGGGATACGTAACAGCTAAGTCTGCGCTACTACGTGAATCGCAAGGGAAGGCGACAAGAATATATATATAATCAATAGCCCAAGCCTCGTAATCTACATTAAAGTGATTTGAGTCTGATTGGTCTTTTTTAGCCTGAGATATTGAAAACGAAAAATGGAACAAATAAGATTTTGGCTTGCTCTTAATTCCTTAATTTGGAGGTTATTTGAAGTAGGATTCCTAATGTGAGCGGAGAAACAGTAGTTCTTTTAATTCCTTAATTTGGAGGTTATTTGAAGTAGGATTCCTAATGTGAGCGAAGAAATAGTAGTTCTTTGTATTAAGCACAAAAAGAAGTAGTTAACTTACCTTTGAAACAAAGTAACACGTTTGAAAACGACCATCTACTTAGGTGGTCCTGTATTTGGAAACCTCAGAATTCGCTAAAACTTGGACCACAGAGGTCATTTCGTTTGCTAATTATAAAACGATGCTCTTATGCTTTATAGATCTTTATCATGCTTACTGTACGCATACGATAATGGGTCAAACTTCAATGTGCTAGTATTTTGCATGGCGGGCCTATTTGACATTGTTAACGAATATCATGTTATGGCAACAGCGGACGCCTTGATAACGACCCCCTCCTCCCTGATTCTTCAGTACGACCCCCCAGGTGTGGCATGCCATATCCCACGCTTGACCCTGGTTATTACTACCCTAATTTCACGCTATAGGACGCGGGGGATTTTTTTTTCTAAAATCGAACAGCACAAACACGCCGAGGGATTTCGCGACCAAAAAAACTATTCACAGTGCTCCATATTGCCTGAGGGTATCGTGCGGCATAAGTCTCGTTTTCCGAAACACAACGAGGCATCTGAGCGGCACGTTTGAAAAACCGAAAAAGGTGCGTTTTATAGCGTGAAATTAGGGTACTTGGTGGAAAGAGATTCGGATTAAGGTGATGCACGAGCAAGACCGTATTTTTGCACATCAGTCGTGTAGCAAATCTAAAGAGTACATGTGCATGTACGTGTACAAGTCATGTATGTACATGTACACGTATATTTATGATCAGGGCTCAGCAAAAATGGCGCGTTCACACGTCGGATGTCGTTTTTTTTTTGTTGAGGGAAAGCAAAGGGGAACAAGTCAAGCCACCCAAAAACCGTACGAAATATTAAGAAGCACATCTCTAAATGTTAGCATAGTTGCGATGGGAGGAGCAATGGATCTTACCCCTCATGTTCGAGCCAGAAGCCGGACAACACTCTTCACCTGACGCTCAATTGGGAAGGTAATTTGAGAGTAAATCATGATCAAAAAGCTATTGGAGACTTAGCACCTCAGTCGTAAAACACAACAACCACATATTCCTGTGAAAACGTATTTCTATCACTTACAATGAGATGCAGTGGTTGCATTTTTATCGCACTATTTTGAAGGCTTCTAATTAAATTTTAATTAATCTTATATGTAAAGCTGAATGTGTGTTTGTCTGTATGTCTGTCCGTCTGTCTATCTGTACGTATGTACGGAATAGAAATTTTTATCTCTGAACCGACTCGGACCAAACTTGGCACACATACATTTCGGGACGGGGAGCATGTCATAGGCTACTTTTCGTCATCGATCGATATCGATTTTATCAATTTTTATCGATTTTTTGCAAAGTTTGAGCTACAGGGCTGGGAGTTGGCGAAGGGGGGGGGGGGTAAGTGGGCATGGCGATTTCGATTACAATATTAGTTTTCAGAAATATCGATTACTTTTATCGATTTTATCGATTGTTTGCAAAGTTTGAGCTGAAGGCCTGGCAGTTGGCACAGGGGGTAAT